ATTCTTATTCCAAACGAAATACTGAGCTCTGAGAGCTGTTTCCATTCAAACATCCAGGTCAGTCACCGAAGATCTCTACAGAAGACATGGTATGAAAACTGCTTACTGAATGAGATTAACTCCAGTGAGGGAGAATTTATTGGTACTAAAAACAATATAAAGCTCATAAAAAGTGGGATTGTTTGCTGGTGCATTTGAACACAATCTTAATCCTGGTGAGAACTTTTTCCTTTCTAAGAAATGGGATATTTATGGAGATGTGATCTAATAGTACAAAAAGGAAAGGAGAAAGATTAACTTTTGCCACTAAAAATAACAGAGACCACATCCTGGGAAACTAAGCTTCTTGTGACTTTGGTGGCTTCTGGACTTGCCAGAGCAAATGTAACAGTTTTCCATTTTAACTAGGCTGGTCTCAGAGTTGTGTCTGCTATGCCTTCTACCTTGAGCCATTACAATCCAGGGAGGCTAAATTTAGGTTTATTTGTCTGGGAAGACAAGGAAGAGCTGCAGAACCTGGAGTTATCTTCTGGGGTATTGTGGTATTTGAAACTTGCAAAATTTATGGTGTTTCTACTGCAGCAGCCTGTTGCATGGTTAACGTGTGCTACAGCTGTTCTGAGAAGTGTTTACTTACTTTGATACTACCATGCTGGGGCAGATTGTCTGGGTTCAAATCCCAGCTCTACTTCTTCCTTGCCGTGGGAACTGGGCAAATTACATAACCTTCCTGTCTTTGTTTCCTTTTCTGCAAAATGGGGATGGGAACAGCTTGTATTTCCTAGGGCTATTTAGAGGGTATAAAGATTTCAACACATAACAAAGCACAAAGCATCATGCCTGACACATAGTTTGTGCTATTCATGTTCCTGTTAAATAAGTAAATAAGTAACTAAAAAAGCAAAATGACTACTGATGCTAATTAAATGACTTTGAAGCAATTGCTCCCTTACATTATGCTGTAACTGGTATGTACATGCTTGCATGAAGTGGCAACAATTAATTTGTATGACCTGATTTGCTTAACATGCAATCAGCCCAGAAACCCAGAAAGAGGTATCAACAAAAATCCACTTAGGTGGGAAATGGTCTCTTGTTATTGATATTGCTCCAAATGATTGCCAAGGGGGTCTACGTGCTGTGGCCACAAGCAACAGAAACAGAAAGAAAAGTGACTTTTGCTTTCGACATGCGGGGAGGAGACAGGATCATAAAACCCAAACTCAAATTGCCACTGAACCCCCAACTCCAATAGGACAAAGACTAGTGGACCTCATGGCTCTTCCAAGGTCACCCTGCTCCCTGCCCCCTCCCCATCTCAGAGAAATAGGGTAGCTCATTACTGATTTTATAACCTTGTTTCTCCCGATAGGAACGAAGTGTAGTTTTGATGTGTAGGTATTAAATTTACTTGCAAGACTTTAAAAAGAATTTTCTCCACCCAAATTTCTCCTTTTCAGGGAAGGACAGGAAGCTGTGCACTTCCCAGTGGTATCTTCTCCGTGTCTGAGGGCCTCTGGACACTGCTGTGTGCACCTTGCCATCTGGGAAGAAGTCTGCATCTGGCAGCCACAGAGGAAAAAGACTGAGCTTACCCAAGTAGTTGTTGCTCTTGTGCATCTCCGTGATGTTGATTTTTGTGGCTCCTTGGGGAATCTCAACAACTCGGTGGTAGCCCAGGCTGGTGAGGGCGTGCTTAAACACGCCAGACACCACCTGACAGCCCGTGTTATCGCCTCCACAAACCCCACATTTGTCCACGACTTTGTCGGAGCCTAGGTAGTCGTCACAGCCAATGTTCTGCAAAGAGGTGGAAAACAAAAGACTCTTGTAGCGTATACTGGGAACTGGAGGGAGAAGAGCGGAGGAAGGGGAAAAGAAAGTCTATTGGTGGGACTTTACTGGACTGATCTGTTGTCCCCACTCAGTCCTGTGGATGAGCAAGTTCATTTTTTCTCCCCCATGAGCACCTAAATGGGCAATACCCCTAGGAATGTGTGAAATGGGTGTTCTAGGGGTAGGGCGGGACTGCCACCAGGCAGAGTGCATTTGGTGGTATATAATGATCAGAAGAAAAATAATGCATGGAAAAGAAGTAATGAGTGTGGGGGCTGGAAAATTATTTACACAGGTTGGACAGATTGCTGTCTGGTAAATCTATGCCGTTGGATGCTGAGAAGGGAAAGGGTGGACCGTGCTGGGATTTTTATATAGGAAAGTTTTTTGGCATCATAATAAGCACTGCACCTAAAATTGGGTTTTGTTCCCAAGTCTTCTGCTCTGAGTGAAAGATGATAAAACACTAAGCAAAGTATGCTTAGCTTCAGCTTCTTAGGACATTAGAAACTGCTCACTGCTGCCGAGTGGCAGGGCTTTTGCTTGGCCCCCCTAAAGCATTTTTGGGGCAGAAGGGAGCTGGGAAACAAGCAAGAGATACATCAGCAGTCTGGACAATCCACGGGATGCTCTTTGTACAGGAATCTTGTCCGTGTTTTAAGGAATTGAGTTTCCTGCATTTCTTTCCCCCAGAAAAGAATCTTCCATTATTCATCCCATGATCTTTTTGTTCTATCTTCCCTCTCCATATTCATGTTTCTCCTGGGGCAAGTAAACCCTGTTCTCCTGGAACAGAATGGAAAGATCTTCACAGAAACCATTTCCACTTCTAAGGCCAGTTCTATAGGGCTCATCATCATGCTTCCCGAATCCCAGATTGGGACATGTGCTCAGAGCAAAGAATTCTGTCACATTTCCAGAGGGCAGATAGAAGTGAGCAGATATTAGTTAGAACAATAAAATATTGGAATGATATTGGTCTGGGGATAAAAAATATCATTTGAAATCAGAAGGGTATTGTAAAACTTGAGACACACGTTTGCTGAATCCCAGGCCTGTGTTTCCACTGAATTCTCACTTGTGGTCATCTCACCACAAATCAGGGGTGAAGTGGTACATATACCTTTTAAAGTCCACTTTTGATTTTGTTGAAAAAGAAAAAAAAAAAACCCAACAAACTCCTTGGTGTGTTTATAGACAGAATCAAGTAAGAAGAAGGGAAAACTCCAATTTCAGTCTTGACAAACATCTTCCTGCAGGCAATGTAGTCCGCATTATTACTTCCATATTCCTGACTGCACATTAGTTCATCAATATTAACTGGTCCTTTTTCCACAAATTGCATCTCTGTAAAACATTACTCCTGACAGAACACATCTCAGTATGTCCATCCACATCCAATTAGCCTTTCAAAAGTGCCATGTATTTCTCCTCCCTTAAATATTTTCTTGCCCTGGCCCTATGCACATTTTAGCAGAAAAATAAGGAAAATGTTTGCCATGCATGATTACTAACACCCCCTCCCTCCCCAGCTTAGGCTCTCCTTTGTTATGAAACAAACAAACAAGAAATGCTACTACCAACAGAAGTTTTAGAAAGTGAATTCCATGTTGCCAAAGCAAGATTCTCACTGAATTAAGGAGATGCCTCTGATTGACACCGATGGAGAAGATGAACAGGAAAGCTGGTCAGCTCACCCCTGCTCTGTCTGGGAACATCTCGTCCTCCTCTGTTTTTCTCAGCTATGGACCCTGCCTGCTCTGTCTGGACTCAACTATTCCACACTGAGCCCATGGGGCACTCAAGTAAAGGTGACAAGATAATCAAATCACAGCATAATCTGCCCACAGAGTAGGGTCCCCCGGGATGGAAGGAGATGGGAGAATTCAGCTAAATTTGCTAAGACTCTTGTTTGCTGCTGAATTAGAATTTTAGCTGATGGCAGCAGCAACAACTGGGATTCTGACAAAGGGGAAGGTCTCACTCAGATCTGTTTTTCAGATAACTTTGGCTGTAGGTGTAGCAGGTCCTTGAGTGGGGAGAGCCGGCAGTCTAGCAAGTCTCTCTTGTAAAGGACATTTTAGGAACGAATAAGAAGTGCTGGGGGCAGGGAGATACCTGAACTCTCAGCTCCTACTGTAGCCAGAGTAGGCTGATGACAGAGAAATCACACAGCCATGCTGGCTTCAGACAACCACAGACACAAACCAATGTCATCTTATCTCATCAATCAATAATATATCAAAATGCTCAGCACAGTTCGATGGGCCTCACCACACTTCTTGCACAGCAAGGCCACGCTGGACAATCTGCACAGGGGGCAGCGGTCCTGGTCTTCCTGGTGGATTCTAGTAGAAAGGAAGCTGACTTGAGAGAAGCGTGTGGCAACAATGCTAAGAGCTAATGGCGATATCTTGTCTCCTCAGGGCCTGTCTCTGGACCCTGAGCACAGGATATGGTCCTCAAGAGAGGAGTCAAGTTAAGTCTTCCTTGAGGGGTAACAGGAAGAGGATGGATCACTTTTCTAGTGGTCACCCAGGCTCCTGAAGACCGTGTTGCTGAGGAGCTGCCTGGAGGACAGCCGTGTGTGAGAGCTGGGCTGAATAGATGTTTGCAAGACCTTTGTTGCTAGTTGAGACCACAGTCAAGTTACAGACCTGACTACTGTCCTTCCTGCTCAGGACCGTTGGACACCCTGGGCTGAGTCATGGGGATATGGAATGTCGGATCAGGTGATATCACCAGGAGGGTTTGGATTGGGTGCCAAGGCAGAGCACACACAAGGAAGTGGGACTTGGACCAAGATCTGAAATGGTAAGAGGGAGCAACCATGGCTGGACCAGTGTAAATAAATATTTTATCACTGATGTTGTTGGGTGACTACATTGGGCAGACCCTCTGGGAAATTCCACAGTCAGACACAGGTGCCACCTTGTGTGGATTTGAGTCTACCCAGGAATGTTTAGATTCACAAACAGATAATTACAAGTTTCTAGGAAGTGAGGATCCCCGTAGCTTTGTTTGAGCATGTGATAATAGTGGGGCACAGAAAGTCTGGAGGTATTGCAGCATCCCAGCTTCAACTAGGGGAGTGGTGATGGAGCAGAGGATTTGAGAGATGCTTATGAAGGAACACAGGCAGTTCTTTGTGATTGATTAGTTGGAAGAAGAAGGGAGCTTAAATTCTCGCTCTCCTTCCCACCCTCCTCAACACCACCCTATCTAACATTTACAGAATTTGATGTATTTCCTGTCCTTGGAATACCTACATCTAATTTATATATAGCTACATCTAATAATATATCTATAACATATATTTAATCTTTTTAAAAGTGTTCTTAGACACATCTTTATTATAAGTGTTGTGAAACATTTTACATGCATTGCAGAATTGATATATTGATATATCTAATAATTTATATATAGATATATCTAACATATCTATAATATATTTCATCTTTTTAATTAAAAAGATTAATATTTAGGGCCCTCCCTGGTGGTGCAGTGGGTTAAAGCACAGCACTGAAAAGCTAAAACTACTTCAGCATGAGTTTGATCCCAGCCCTGGAGGTGACCACATGGC